TGATCGACTTCGAGCTGCTCCCACCCGATACCAGCATCACCGCCGCCTACTACTGCGATCGGCTGCAGAAGCTCGCCGACAGACTCCGGACGGTGAGGCCAGGGCACCGTCGTGTTCGATTCCTGCACGACAACGCAAGGCCGCATGTCGCGAAGATCAGACGGCAGAAACTGCTGGATCTGGGTTGGGAGGTTCTGCCTCACCCTCCGTATAGCCCAGATCTGGCACCAACCGACTCCAACCATCTCTTCCGCGCTCTAGACAACCATCTTCGCCAGAAAAGGTTCAACGATGACGCCGAGGTCGAAAAACGGCTGACTAATTTTTTCGACTCACAGCCAGCTCAGTTCTACAGGGATGGAATCAGGAGTCTGCCTGATCGTTGGCAGAAGGTGATGGCGATTACTTCGTTGAATGAACTTTTTTGCTTTTTAAAAAAACTCGGTTGTATGGAATGTTCTCAAAACGGCCAGAACTTTCCGATCGAAGCAATAATTTGCTTAAATGGTTTTTATATATTCAGCTTAGTTTTCATGTCATACATTTTTATCTCTCTTCATTTATTGATATGAATACCAAAAAACTTTGGAATTTCAATGGTACCTGACTCATTCATTCTGCACCAAAGCAAAAATAGAAGAATCGTATTGACTTGCATTTTACTGGCAAAGTCTTAGCTGCATAAGGACATTCTTTTAGAGAAATGGGATGGGGTTGAAGGAGAGGAAATGGAAGTGTTTTCACTCTAAGGCTACTGGGTGCATTAATTTAGGGATTAATCATAAAGTTATTGTGACTGGGAGTTAACCAATTAAATGAGTGTAAATAGTTTCCAAATCTCCTTGTAATGGAACCTACCTTTGTTGCAAGGCAGTGTGATTCATCTCACATTTATTGTTAATTCTCCTAAGGTGCTCAAAAACTAAAATTGAACATTGGTTGGAAAGGTTTGGTGGTATGTCTGGATCTCATGGCAGTGCTGTCATCTGGCATGCTGTATTACATTTTTCTTGCTCCTAGAATTTCATGTTTGCTTCATCAGATTCAGAGGGAATTATGGGTCTATTAAAATTTGATTAACCTATCATATCAAGCAGCTCATAATTTTTTTTGTCCAGTTCTTATTTTTGTTTTGTTGCGATAAGTCCTTAGATAAGATAAAATTAGTGCATCATGCATTTTCATGCATTTTGAAAGCTAGGTTTTCTCACCCCCCCCACCTATTTTCTTTTTAATGAAATTTAAAGATTGACTTGGAGATTTTGCTCTTAAGAACTGGGTCAGCTTAGAGCCTTATGGTGGCAATGTAGTTACTTTGTGTTGGTTGATGTGTGTTTTAAGAGGAATTATATTACTGAATATACATTCAATGGACATTGAAATATGACCCCCCCCCAAACGGTAGAAAGTGAACTGTACCATTGGAATAAAAGCACATTGGGGTGAATGCAGTCACTAGTTGATGCCCAATAGTGGGTACAGCTAGTATGAAGTGTTACATGTGAACAGCATGGGAAAGGCTGCAATTTGACAGATTTTAATTGAGGTGATATTAGGTAGGAGGTCATTTTCAATGTCCACTGAGTGTATATATTGATTGATGTATCACTTATCCATTAGGTTGGAATAAGAAGTGCTACAGGAAATATCTCTCACTGCAAAATGGAATCACATATTGCTCTTGAGTCCACACGCAGCAAAATGAGCATGGATGTTTTTACTTGTGATTAGGTCACTGCTCATCCTGAAAGGACTCATATGTTAGCACAGCCAGATTCATTTAATTGTAAAATAGTACAACATGCACCATGTCCACATTATTTAATGAGGAAATATAGTTCTTGTTCTATCTCTTTTTCTGTCTAATAGGTGTCTTGAAAGCCATCCTGAGAGATCAGTATTCTCTTCCGCATCTCAGGCTCTACAGTCTCCACAATCATCTCTTCAGTGATCCTTTCAATCAAGATGTTGCTTACTTTATGAACCATACCGGTTCAGTGTGCAAGGTGAACCCTCGGGATGTACGTAAGAGCTAGTGACACTTTCTTGTTCTTTCTGAATTCTAGTTTGGCTCCAGGAAAGGCTGATGTTCACCCATACTACACACATTTAGGGAGCTGGTACTTTCTTCAATATAGTTTGTGACCTGCACAATCATATGACACAAGGCAATATTCCTTGTCACTTTTTAATTGTTCACACAATAAGGTGAAAATATTGCCAGTGTCAATTTACATGTGCTCTATGCATGTGCTGATATGGTTTGCTGTTTTGTGGTTGTAGAATGGAGTGGATATTGAAGACGGCATTTGGAAGTTCCCTGATGAATCATCAGAAGAGAGGACCTACAATCCCTCATTGGTCTTTGCCTCAGAAACTTTGGTCACTGTGTCTAGTGGCCAGGGTGGACTCTACATCTGTGACACGGGTGACAGAAGCACATCTACTTCTTGGAAGGTATGGGATGTTTGGCTATTTTTGGCTCATTTCATGCATATCATGTACAATACCTCTCTAGTTAGTACCTCTGAGTTGGTTATCAACAATAAAGGGATTTGTTTGTGTTATCCCCCAGGAAGTAGTGAAAATGGATGCAGCAGAGGTTTTCAAGCCTTCCCACTTGATAAGCAGTGTTGTTGTGCCAGGGGAAACAAGAGTCATTGTGGTTGCTATGTTGCATGTAGACCCTGCATCTGAAGTTGCCAACTGGAATGGGAAGTCTAGCAGTGGCTTCCTCTCTGTTGTCACAGTTGTCAATATAGTGGAAGGTTAGCCCCTTATAATTATCATCAGGCCTTTCTTATGTTGGGATGAAATATGGAATGACCCTGTCTCTTTGGAAAAACATTGTTTCACCTCTGTGTCATCACCTGAGAGCAGCAGATTAAAACACTGGTTGTGATAAGACTGAACTAAAACTGCTTGATGGATTAATTCTTCATTGGGAACATTGGACAAATTGATGTTATGAGGTATTAATGCTATGGTATACAATCTTGATACAATGAGGAATGTCATACCTGTCATTCAACTCTTTTGCCACTGATGAGTATACTTATAGATTATCCAGCACTGCTATGAAAAATCACATTTAAAGGGGTTAAACAAGTCTAACTTGAGATTAAGATGGTTCAGCTTTTAGGTGAGAAAATAGGATTCTTAACTAATTGTGATGGTAATTTAAAAATACAGATGCATCTGGAAAGTGGGATTGGAAGATCGTGGCTCGATTAGCAAGTCAAGGGGTGTTGGAGTATGCTGCCTTGGAGCCATCTGGCAAAGCTCTGGTTGTGGCTGGTGATCATGAGCTCTCCTTCTTACTCCCTAAGCAAGATGAGAATGGGGAACCCAAGGCCAAAGAAGCTCGTATGGGTGAGTGCATCCATACTGTCCTTATCTGCCATTCCCATAGGTACTATGGGAAAATGGCTGCTATTGCAATCAATCTGTCTCTTTTTTTTCCATGTTGTCTACCCACAGTATCCATAGCAACCATAAAGCTCTACTCAGTGTGCATGTGCAGCTTTCCACCCAAGTCAGGGTACCAGTCCTCATTCACTTATCCACTAAAATTAAAGTAAAATGTCCATGTCCCTTCCCGCCCTCATAGATGATGGATCATAGTAGACAATAGGAGAGAGTGGCTGCTTGCCACTGTATAGTGGGTGTATATATATAGGGTATATATATATATATATATATATATATACCCTATATATAGGGTGTATGCATGAACCATCTAGAAAATTGTCTCGTTGTCTGGGACTCTTTATATAGGTCTATGCTGCACCAATGACAGCTATTATTTACTTAAATGTTGGATGGTTGGGATGCAGTGAAGAAGATAGTTCCATAGGTATTGGGGTCAGTGGAATGGCAGATCTGTACTTGGGCTGGTACTCCAGTCTGATTCTGTTGAAAGTTACCTAAGGGTGACTTTAGGTCAGTACTGATTTTGGAGATCTCTGCCTAGTGATGATGTTTGTCTTGCAGAAGACCCACCAGTTTATCACTGGCAGCAGACTACAGAGGACCTGACCGTGGTCTTTAAGCTCCCTCCAGAAACAAAGAAGGAGGATATCCAAGTTTTCATGGACACAAAACATCTAACCGTGAAACTTACATCTGTGGAAACTCCAGCACTCAAGGGAGAACTTTGGGGAACAATCACACCTTCAGACAGCACGTGGACCATCCATCCATCTGAAGGAAGCTGCAAACTAGAGCTCGTTTTGACCAAAGCTGAGACTGGAATGATGTGGATGGAACTGGTCAAAGGAGATACCCGGGGGGAACAGGTCATGGATCCTGCTCTTGTCGAAGCTGTTCATCAGAGACTTGCTCATCTCACTTCTGAGACTCTTGTATGTGGTGTCCTGTACATCTTGTTCTTCCAGCCCTAGAGCACCACTGTATGAGAAAGCATGATCATGGATATTCCACAGGTGACAGATGAGAGTCAGGGGGCTGCAGCATATAGCAGTCAGCAGTTGGAAGAATGCGACGACTTGCCACCCGACACCTCAACGTTGGCTCGTTTTGATCTCGAGAAAGTGACAGTTTCACACAAGGCCAGTCTGGGGACTCATCAGTGGCTCTTCAATGTGCATTCGGGACCTGGCAAGATGCCGTGCATTTGCCTACGTCATGACGTGGATGGACTGGTGTGGCAACCTCCTCAAGAGGCCAGCACCAAGCATGGGTGGCCTGTCAAACACATTGAGACCTTCAATGCTCTAGGCTATGTTCAAGCTTCCAAGGAAAGCAAGAAGTTTGCCCTCAGTGCTCCAAGTTTGTCAATTATTGACGACCTTTTTCTCCTATGGTGTTCCTAGTGTAAATCATTTTTCCTTTTTGCAGATTTCTCCTATGCTGCAATCTGTGACTCAAAGACCCACATCTACTTGTACCGCCAACCATCGGCCTTGGAGAGCGAATTGCGAAATCGAAAGACGGGGAAACGTGAAAGTGAAATTGCAAAGCAGCAAGTCCTGTCATTGAAGGACAAGAGTGAGATCCATGGGGTCCATGCTTCTGACAACAATTTATTTGTCCTTACCTCCAATTGTTGCATTCTCATCAAGATTAATTGACAGGGATTTCCACCAATGACTAAGAAATATCACAATCTACAATATCGACCAATAAACTGTTCCTTTTTGATTTTGAATAGTATTTGATGAATTTTTAATTTTGAAGAATTGGGTTATCAGGAACTGGATTTATCCATTCCAGATCATTAACTTCAGTTATCTGGAATCATTTAAGACATTCACAGCGAATTACACTCAACTCCTCATATCACAAAAAAAGAACTAAACTGACTGCCATGTCTTTCTTGTTTCAAAAATGGAATTAGCCATTGGGATCCTTTGCTTTTACCCCAGATTCCAAGATCCTCTTGCAAACTAATTTTGGAATTGTGAACAATGTAGGTGCAGATGAGCTCATAAAGAAGCAGATGGAAAGGAGTAGTCAGCATAAAAGTGGCTAGGAACAAGTCTGGCTGATAAAGTTGAATTCGTTCATCTGTTTCCTTTGCACTCATCTTCATTCTTACAATTCTGTGAAAACCATCATTGGCAATGTGCTCCAGTCAGTACTTACAGCACTTGTGCAAGTGGTAATGGACCTTTTCTCAAACAATGTACCATCCTCTGAACAAGCCATGTGAAACATTCAATGCATATTTACTCCAAGTTGACATTGATGGACTCAATGAACCTCCCTCACAGCTTCAACAAAAGTAAGGGTTTTAACACACATGCATATAGCCCAAATTGAAGGCAGCTATTGAGAGAGGGGATGTGTGTAACTGCTTCAGAAAACAAATACACGTTGAAAAAGGTTGACAGAGAATGACATACAGGGTGTTTCAAAAGTAACTGTGCAGAAGAGATATAACCTGTCCTATCTAGAAAGATAAGTCATTTAAAAAAAAAGCAACTTATTGCTAGTGATTAAATACAAGAACACCACAAAGCAGATCAGAGGTAACAGAAAACCATTCTGACATGAAATTCATGAACAGTTCAGCAGCAAATCCATAGCAATTGCTGAAAATGTGAAATAGCTATTCAATTCAGCTACTTTTGAAACACCCTGTATATTCCATCTCCATTGAGAGTGTAAGAGCCCTGAAAGCCTGTTTAATTGCATTCACAACACCAGTTCTTTAGCACTTCATTCAGCTGTAGCATTGAATGCCTTCATTGGCATGCATAAACACCAAATTTTAGATCTCATAAATGGGTGAGGTGGAGTGATGACACCAAAAATTCCTTTTGCATTTATTGAAGTATGCACCCCAATGAAACTGAGCAAGCAAGAACAAAACAGATGAGATGACAGCCTTTTAGAGTAGGACTGTCAGCTTCCCCTGCTGGTAATGGAGGGAGTTTCGGTTTCGCAGGAGGACCTTGCTTGAACCAGTGATGCACTGAAGTAATGGACATAAGGCACAAAGAGCCAAACTCTTAGTCTGCCCTTCCATAAGGGAGAAATCACCCCTCATCACAAATCCTATTACCTTCTGTGAGTTCTCTCTGAGAGTCTTGTGAGCATCAGGCACACACAAGTCCTTGAATTTCTTCTGGTATTTTTCCTGCTCTAGCTTGCTGCCTTCACGGAGGGCATGCAGGGTCTCCTGGCTCTCTTTCCTTCCCAAAGCTGTCTTCACCTTTTTCCGCTTTTTCTTCATATGTTGTATCCTTTGGTGATGGTGTTTGCCAAGAGCCAAGCGTTCTCCCATGTTATGATCAGTGTGAACAGATTCCTCACTGGGGGCATTTTCCTCTGCCATGCACACCAAGGCTCCAACCTTGGGCTTTCCTTTCCCCTTGGTTGCAATTTTTACCCATACCAAACAAGAAGACACATCCAGCTCTTTGTTCAGATGCTGAGACTTCCCCTCACTCAGACTCTTGAGTGCATTATGGTCCCGGAGAATGAAGAAATTTGAAGCAGGTTTACTGGAGTCAGTCCAGTAATGAAGTAACTCCAGGAAGGGAAACGAGAAAGGATTTGGGATGCCCAGACAGAAGAAATTCTCCCTTTTCTGATCTGGCCTCCTGAGAAGAAAGAAGAAACTTTGGGATAGCATCAAAACTCAGGAGTCTACTAACTTCAGGGACTAAGGAAGGGTCAATATTGTATACCAACCTGAAATATCTATCTTGAAGCTCCTGAGCATCAGCACAAGCTTCAGCTTGTCCAGCAGATGAGTCTGGGAAATCAAATGGGGGAACCAATCTAGAAGACTCAAAGCTGATCTTCCTCAATTCTTCCAAACCACCAACACGGGCACCATTGTAGATAAGGGAGATCCAGAAAGCCATGCCCCATCCACTGGGAACCATCAAATCCCATCCACTTCCATATCCTAAAAACAACACTCCTTTTTTGATACCAGCAATGAGGAAATGGCAATGACTGAAACGAAATTGCACACAATGAACACATTTATGGAATATACTGGAAAATATAATAACTTGAAAAATTTAGCATGCAAGTTGACATATCTCAGATAAATGTTTGTTGGAAAAGGATGGAAGATGGAAGGAAGAAGATGCTCACAATAGAGGCTTCATTTTTTCATTGAAATGAAATAATAAATCTTCCAATAAGTAAATCTCCCTATCAGCAAGTGAACAGCATCTGAGTGTGATAAAATAACTACTTGTACCTAGTCTTCCTTGCTTCTGAGACAGTCCTGGCTGATGCAGGAGGAGGACTGGAATGCGAGCTTCTTCAGGTAAAAGAGGCAGGGTTTCACCTGGAATCCCAGTAGCTCTCTTCCTCTCATTTAGGATGTTATCAGCCACTTTAGATTCACTCACAGCCTTCCTCCACTTCACATTGAAAAGTGGAGAATCCAATATAGGGAACTCAGCCTCCTCATTCAACTGAAAACTGAGATCTGTCCAACAAATATGGAGGTGTTAACATGCTATCAGCTCTACATCAATCTCTCCTCATCTTTGTGAAGAGTACAACTCACCATGGAAATCTGGCACTGAGAGGGTCTTTCTTGGTGGGATGAAGCACCTGGGATCTCGCACTGTGAGGGATATCAGCAGTGAAGGCATGACTTCTCCAGGGGACATGTTTCTCATAGCCTCCCACAGCTTCTTTTGCTTTTGGTGGGTGGTCTGGCACTTCTCTGTCTGAAAATACTCCTTCCACCAAAATGCATCAACTTCATTATCAAGACAATCCACTTCACTTGGTCTCAGAGCAGCATGGAGGACAGCAGTGGCAGCTGGCCCAAGCAGACGGAATTTATTGAAAGCACCATCCATCACTTGTACTGTAAGTGACTGATTACAGTATCTCTCAGAGTCAATTTCTGCTTGGAGATTCAGGTGCTTGATAAGAACATCTTGGACTTGAGCAGCATAGGAAGGATGGGACCAGAGCCAGAGCCGTCTTTCTGTCTCTTCTTCAGAGGGCAACCAGAGAAAGGAAACAGGTCCAATTGCTCCTAAGGGATATGTGTTAGGTTGGTAGAGGACAACACATCCTTCACGTTGCAGTCTCAGCTGTGCAATGCCTCCAAAGCTGGGTCCACATTCTGGAGGATTCATTGGTTGCAAAGCTCTCAGGATGTTTGCTTCCAAACCACGAAGTTCAAGACACCTCCAATAGGACAAATCCTATCCAAGAATCAATATATCCTGATAAGAGAAACAATATATCCCACAATCAGAACAATCTACCTTGTCCCCTTGTAGTTAGTGTCTGAGAAGTGATAGGCATTTATACTGGAACTGAATCTTCCCCTCCTTCAATCAGCAAAATGAACAAGTCTGGTTTACCCCTTTGCTACCATTGGTGTGTCATCATGATGGCAAATATTCAACTTTACCTTTGACAACACCATGCCATTGCACAAAAAATCATTGTTGTTTCTCTGTGGCCATGAAGTGTCACTCAGACAGAAATAGAAAAGACAGACAAGTGTTTCATTGTATTACTTTTATGCAAAAATAAAGCATTCTGAGAAAGGGATCTTTGTGAAAAATTAGTTAGTAAAGGGATTAATACATACTTCTATATTAAATTGGCTTATGATTAGTGACAGTCACTTAGACAGCAGATATTCATTGTTGAAGGAGGACCAAAACTTAACCATACATGCTGTACTCACAAAAATAATGCAACTGTTGGTGGTGGCTCTGTAGGCAAATCGAGTTCCCTTGTCCGTAGGGGATAAGGGGATCTTCCAACCCCACTTTTCCTTCATATGAAATCTCTTGGCATGCCAAACATGTGTCTCTAGCCACTTTGGTCCTCTCTTCTGGCGGCGATAGTACTCAGACTTTAGGATCTTTGGTCTCCTCCGGTATTTACGTGAGGGTCGCTTTGGCTCCTTGGGGGTCTGGAAAGTTGATGTATCTTGAAATTTAAAAGTGCTACTGAAGCAGTGACTCATCAAAAATTTATACTAAAAAAAAAAGACTTGTTCCTTTATTAAAGGGAATACTTGAGAGACAATTGTGCAATCCTTGCAACTTATACTAGAAAACATACACTAGAAAAAAAAAATTAGAACATTCATAACAGACAAGACTTTCTCATCACTGAAAGTCTTATGTTCAATAAAAAATGAGATGGTCTAGCTCTGCAACAGCAGATTTCCTCCATTGCAATTTTTTTCAGACATTCTTTTGCTATACAATATAGTCTTGAACCTAACTCTATTGAGATTCAAAACTGATACAAATAGCCTACAAAGAACTAAAATGTACCCTATTCTGTATATCCAGCATTTAGATGCATTTTTTTAGCTTCATAAATATTACATACAGTTCAAACTACCTGGAAGTTAAATGGAATTCAGCTCTTTAATCTTCAAACAGCATCTGCTTAGAACAATCAAAAGAGAACTGAAGATAATGTTTCATTTAAAATAAGTATTGTGACATTTTTTACTCCTTTTGGTAAAGGAAAGCTTGAATGAACATGGGTGGTGCAAAAGTCATGCACCAGAGGGGATTTCACTGTTGCACTACATTAATTCTTGTTTCTTTTTTTGTTGGTAACTGATGGCTAAAAAATTAACAAAAGATAAGAGGGTGGAGTTAAGATATGCTCCAATATTATGTGTATAGCAAATTGAAGTGTTTTCAAGTTAATGGCCAACAATTAGAACATTTACTGACCCTATGGTGAATGACTTTTGTGCCATCTTGTACATCACATCTGATCATCCCAATAGTTGCTTAAGGATAGCATGGCATGGAATGAGTCCCAGGTGAATGTACTAAGGCTTTTCTACTAAGATGTGAGTGAATCAGTCTCAAAGGTTGGTGCAGTTGCTCTTGATCAGTAAAATTCAACCTTTTTTGAGGAAGCTGCTTTGGAGTATGTACAGTCTAGGTCAGGTGTGGGCAAACTATGGCCCCCAGGCTGAATGCAGCCCATGGCAGTATTTTGAATGGCCCACCAGCTGTTGCTCTGCAGCAATAAAGTGCAGTCCCCAGTTACAGCTCAGACACCCATCCTGTATGACTGAGTGGACCCTTCCAAAGGATCAAGTGTTACAGCTCCTTCTAACTGTCCAGGCAACTGACAGCGCAAGGAATCTCTAGGCGCAACAGTAGGAAATTTTCTGAGCTTGAAGATCGTTGGGAAGACAACTAAACTACTGTGGCCTGTGAAGGCTTTTGTGTTTTCTTGTGAGGCCCACAAGTTAAAATGTTTGCTCACCCCTGGTCTAGATCCTGCAAATAGTAATAACTTATCATGTATGATATTTGCAAATCTTGCTTTTAATCTCTGATTCTTATGTAACGGTGCTATTTTCTACAATATTATGGTGTTGTTTTTGCAATCAATGGTAGCCCCCTGCCCTTTTCTTCAATTTATGAGAGGAAGATCATGCTGTTCTAGAGGCACAAACTGACATGGTAGTCAAAATACAGATTAGATTTGATGTAATATGGTTTTGTTTAGGGCTGTACAGATGGCCACATTTTGCTGGAGGGCTGATAGCCAATTTTTATCTCATAACCATCAACCAGTGCTGATTGTGGTTTGAAGACTGGGAAAACATGAAATTGCATAGTAATTCAAATAGGCTTATTTGGCAGCCTTGCGATACTCATCAATGACTTCCTTCTTAAAACAATAGAGACCACTTTTAGGCCTCCTGTCTATGTGTCTGTCAGTGGTTAGCTTGTTACATAATGCTGCCCTTTAAGAACATTTACTGATACATCTCTCAAAAAACCACAATATGAAAGGTTTCTACACTCGGGCTGAAATATAATCTGATCAATATTGAGATATCAAGAGGCAGAGTGGCTTTCAGTGAGAAATGAGGGCTGGTACCTAGCTGTGTTCACAAGTTCATGTTGTTGTTTTTATTTTGTCACTTCTTTGGGTACCTGTATCAGTAGCTTGCAACCCGGCCAATAGTGCATGACCAGCAGCTGATACCATCAATACATCAGTACAGCCCTAGTTTTGTTTCATCTCAGTGTTAACATTTATGCTCAAGTTATGATTAAATTCCAATGTTTCTCCCAACAAACATGAGACTTCCTCACAATAAGCAAAACATGGGATTGTATGAATTTCTTATTGAGCTAGCAATGACACTTCATACCTTTACTCAGATTGTACACCTTTTACAAAAGCAAAGAAGTCATGATGATATCCTTAAGATAATTAGGTATATCCTGTTAACTTTTTTAACAGATGTGCTTAGATATGTCATTCATGACACATGAAGAAAATGAGACTACCATAAGAGCATCATGCAAAATAAGGGAATGAAAGATAAGAGCACCAATCATAGGGGTTATAGGAGAGAATGTAACTACTTTGCATTTATTCTTTGGCAGAAGTATATGAGGACCCCCAACTCATGCACTCTGAAATGTAAAAAAATGATTATCTACTCACTCCCTTTCAGCTACTAGTTTGTGAATGTTTGAAAGTTTGTGAAAGTGTTTGTGAATGTCCTTTAATTCTGAACTCAGGTCTTCAGATCTGGGAAGCAATGAGGAAAACCCTAGGAAGACAGGAAAAAATGAAAGGAATGAAAGGGAAGAAAAAAACTAGGAAAGATCATAAGAAAAAAAAAGAGCAAAAGAAGGCATATAAAGTAATTGGCTCATGAGGTTGGAATTATGGTCCTCTCATTAGAAATACATCTTGTCATGATTTCCTCTGACATCTTGAACATCCCTATCCCTCATACACTGTGTTACTGTGCAACCTCTAGATAGCAATTTGGAGCAGTTGGGATAATACCACTAATCATCTCAATTGCTCTGCTCAATCAGTAGATAATATTTTTTTAAACCTCATTTCATCCCTGTCTCTTTCATTAAAGCAAATGTGCTTGTTACCTGGGTTCCAGCCAACTGTCTGATTCTGGCAGGGAGTCTTTTGGGATTGTGGCTGGCTGCTCGTCGTCTCAAGTGTTGAGGGAGCTGCTGAAGAGCCCCTACTGTCTTCTCTGGACGATCTTAAATATGAAGACCCACATATATTAGTCCAGACAAATCTTCCCTTTAAGGCTACCCATTAGACAATGTTACTTTCCCTTCTTATCAAGTACAGGTATTAAGGTAATGCCATTCATCACATGGTAAAAGAAGCAGCAAAACTGATGCAAAAACTCCAACAATTTTTTCAAAGTCTGTCACCAGCAGTTTTCCCTAAATTCTTCAAAACTGAGTTTCTCAGGAATTGATGATTTATCCTTTAATAAATTCAATAGAACGTACATACAAACCATATCCAGTTTCTTACCAATGAGCTGAGTCAAAGCACATATCTCTGTGGCCCTTGCAGAAACATATTTCAATAGTGACATGTGATGGGGAAGTTTGATGGCATCCTCTACTTCATTAGTTGCTGCCTTGCCTTCAAAATCCTCTTGCTCATCACCACTGGCCATCTTGACCAGGTAACAAACTACTTTCCTCACATTAAATGCTCAACCTGCATAAAATTGACAGACAAAAATGCCATTCTGACCTAACTGATGAACAAAACAATCCTCTATATTGGATTGGTCAAATGTCCAAATCAGGAGCAGCAAAAATATCCCTTTCTTAAGAAAAAAAATCATGGACTTCATAAATAGGAGTAGGTGTACTCCCCTATTTTTCTTCAAATGATTGCTATCTCTTGCTACAATGAAGGCAAATGACCTATCATTTTAAAATTAAATATAGCTTTCTATTGAAGGATTATGAGAACTCATGGGGAAAAGAAGGGACTACATCTGGTCATTCCTTACATCCGCCCCTTTTTCAAAATATCTACTTTTGACCTGAGAATCGTTGTGGTTGTTTTCAATCTTGCCTTACTTGGTATTATAACATAAACCCTGTACTCTGCTGGCTGTATTCAAGCACTGAGTTACTTATTGATAGTAAAGTACTGGAGAGATCTAATGATCCTTATGACCAGGGGTGGATACAGAAATTTTTCATAGGGGGGGGCAGTTCCCAAGTTCCTACCTCCTGCCTACCACCATTCCTCGTCCTTTCCTCTTTTTCTATTTTTTGTCTGGAGGAAAAACTTGAGTACCTATTTCATTGGCTCCAATAAAATTTAATGCAGATGCTATTTTGAATAATTAAATAAAATGCTAACCTGGCCATAGGGGGGGCGGTCACCCCCCGTATCTGCTTATGACACAAGCTAACAGAGCAGAAGCTTCCGAGTCCATTTGCTCAATAGAGATACAAACTAACTTTCCCCAGGCAAGAGTATAACTTCTGGGAGCATACAATATGAATCTCCTAGTACTAACAATGCTGAAGAATGCTTGAGCAAAGGAATCAACAAGGGTTTCCCAAACTGTGGATTGCTATGACAGTGGAATCAGAGAAATGCATTAATCTTAGATAATTTGTACTCAATTTCTCTTCAGCTTCAGGAACCTGTAAATAGGGGGTTGCAAGCTTTTGGCCCCTATGAAATGTGGTCATGGACCCAAAAAGTTTGAGAACTTCTGAACTAGAGCAAATGTGGCATTCATAGAATCATTTGCCTCATACTGCCAAAAGTCAAGTCACAGCTAATGACAAATCTGTGTAACACCACTGATGGCCTCAATATACTGAGGTTATACCTAGCAGCTCCAATCTGCATGAAACCTGGATCCAGCATAAGAATCTAGGGGAATATTTGACTGGGTAACTATGTGACTGCCAGGCAGCAGGTAAACAAGTCCTGCTCACTGTCTGAAGCATCAGTTAATAGCAATATGGCATCATGATGGAAGCTTACTGTGTTGCAATGGAACATGGTTATTTAGTGCCATTTGGTCAGGGAGTTTGGACAAGCTAGAAACTTTTCCCCACTGGGGTAGTTTCAGGTAGTCATCCATGCCAAGGAGGGTCCAAAACAAGAAACAAAACATTAACATGTGAAACAATGGCATGCTCATGGGTGGACCTTCACTTTTGGAAAGGCAGTGTGCAAGGGGTACCCAAGTTCTTGGGCTGACCATATTTTGGCGATTCCTCACCATAGTCTCTCTTGATAATACACTTCTTCCATTATCCTTTTAGCACATCTTTGCCAGTCTTACCCCTTTGGGGTCTATGCCTGAGTTATCTTGTGTTGGCCTCATGATGAAGAATGGAAAAAAACTCAATGACAGTGCTGACTTATCCAAAATACTTGAACCCCAAAGGGGTAAACTACTCCTCCAACAACCTGTATAATAACCCTTGTTTCATGCTTTGCTGCATTGTCATCCTGAAATCTCTTTCCTCCCAGGTATGAACAGTGCCAGGCAGGTCCATGAATAAATGGTTGTGTAGAGTGAAGCTTCTCTTCGAATACCACTATTACAAAGTAATTGGGTGAATTCAGGGACTTTCATCCATCCTCTTGCAATCCTCCATGAGCATTTGGGATGTCAAAGACTCCAGCAGGATGCTTATCCATAATCCCTTCTGGAGAGCAAAGTGCTCATGTCCAAAAATTTAACTAGCAAAAGTCTTTGCAAGGGAAACACCATTTTTGGGGAAGTGAAATCATATGATCCTCTGTTCTACATGTAAAGGTATTTGTTTTCTAATCATGAATGCATTGAAATACACAGTCATCAATGTCTTGGGAGTCACAAAAAATTGATGCAGCTCTTATAGTATATAGTAGACTGCTGTATGAGACCACACACTATGGCTGGCATACCAAAAACAAAACATGAATATCCCATTACTCAAACTTGACTATTATTGCATGAAATTCATGAATAAATCACATCTAAGGAAAGTTTCCTTCAGAATTGATGCATGTAATCTACACACCAAGATGCAGTTTCTTGCATCCCCGAATCAGTGAGATATTGTTGCAAGTAATAATTAATAACATTATTCCAATGCATAGTGGCAAGATGAATCAAATGCAGTTTAGGCACAGAGGAAAAAAATCACAAAACTAGCTGCTTTTATTCATATAACACAGTCTCAAAATCAGTATTCAGTGAATATATACTCAGTATCACGAGGTAAAGTCTCACTTGCCATATGCATTCACCAATTTGCTATTTTTAAAACAAAACTAGATTTAAAACATAAAGAGCATTAAAACAACACTCCATAGGATCCAAACCAATGCCAAAAAAAGTGACACACAATGGACTGGACTGTTGTACAACAGTACTGAAAACATTGAATCAAAATTCCCCAGATACCACACAGACATGTTAAAATTCAAACAACAGCAAAGTGTTCAGCTTCAGTCATAGCCTATGAAAAACACTTTCAATTTCATTGAACAAAAAGGTTTTTTTAAAGGACATCAGGAGTTCCTTTACTATGCAAAGCAAACTCCTACTCTGGGATCAACCATGAACATCCTCTGTGATGCTAAAAGTATAGTTAATTCAGGTTCAATTCATAATGGTTTTCAGCATGGCTCATTGAGGCCAAAGTATGAAGAAATAAACCCCTAATATTGTCTTTTTGAGTCCACCTAATATGTGAAACCATCAAATTGTAATGATAGAAGAGTGGATGGAATTAATGTCTAATTTTCTATGAAAAAGTAATGAATTTTTCCAACAAAGATTGGCCAAACAAACACCAGAATCAGTATGCCAAATCCATGTTGCTTCAGTTTTAAGACCAAAAAGAACCCTTCTTTCCTTAGGGGGGAGGTGGATCCTGCAGCCCAAAAAGTGCACACCCAAAGCAAGTGCCTTGCTCACCTTGTCCTAAATCTGATACAATCCCCTTCCAATGAATCTCTAAAGAAAAAAAGCAAAACAAGTCTGGACGAACTATACCCAGGAAAGTTATATCCAGTTGCATGTATAGACTAACTCATCATCACTGATAAGCAGCATGCTTTTAACATGAAGTCAGATTGTATGGAACAATGGCATCTCTATTGACAAAGGCTGCTTCCCAAGCTTGATGAAATATAAGGTAGGTGATAAAAATTCTGACTCCCTAAACTCATAATCCATCCCCTCAACTACACTTGGAAATTTTTTTTTTTTTTGGATCTATGCCATTTGAGAGGAAAATGTACAAACTGCCCATTCACATTTTAAGACCAGGCATTGGTATAATTTGGTTGAAAAAGGCTGTTTGAACTTCTGATAATGTTGAATTATGTGACATGGGGAGGGAAGACTTTGTAGCAGGGTCAGAATTTGTCTCACCTACTCACTCACCACCAAAAAAACAAAACAAGCAAGACCATGAAGTTGAGTTTCAAGAGTGTAAGATGAATATTCACAAAGAAAACTTTCCAAGTATTTATTTTAAGAGGTGCTACAGGGGTCATACTAATCACTCAATACAGTCACTAGGATGCATGCACCAGCTTCCTGCATTAGACTGATGCATTAGGTTGATATGTGCATCTTTACCATATTTCATCAAGATGGTAATTACATGGTTACAATTAAATAATGAGTAATTCTTTCCAAATCCATTCAATTATGAAAGGTCAACTTCTCACATCCTGAATAAAAAGATACCCTGGACAGACCAAATACAGTGAGGAGAAATGCCATAGTATTTAATTTCTTTTGTGAGCCTCCTCTACTAAAACACAAAATAAGCTCCTTTTGCAGGGGCACAATGTTTGCGTGAATGCATGCGCATGAACACGTGTTCATGCACACACCAACATAGAACAGTCATCAATATTTGTAGGAAAATTACTACATCAAATTGTATTAAATTTTCACAACTCATGAACTTGACATCTATTCACTTTCCAAAAAAACCTCATCTATTAGCAAATACATCTAAATTAATTATATTTGGAGTCTCTCATATTGTAGCATAGAATGGAATGGTCAACCTTTCTTTGCCCCAATTATCAGTCATCCACATGTGTACCATCTCTAGCCATTACCTTCACCTCCTTTCCCCTTCATCCAAAATCTTCCGTATTATTTCACCAGAATCATTTCAAGTGTACAGGCTCACTATTGGTCTTTTCTACTGTTCATTCCTCTCATGAAAAAAGTGAGCAGAGTTCCAGCACAACCACTGTAAACCATGACAAGGTCAAACAAACATATTTGTAGGATACTAGGGAATTCCTAGTACTGATATATTTATATTTTTTGTTACATTACCTAGTACACTCCAGAGAAAACAAACATTTTAAATGGAGAAACTGTCCTGCTATTTTACATTTTTCTACCATAATAGAATAACTAAACACTTGCTTTTCTCCTCCTTGATTATTGTCTCAATCATGAAAATATGAAATGAGAATTAAGGTCACTTCAAAATAGCAGAAATACCACAATGAACCACCAAAATGACAAGAGACCTGTTGTGCCCTGTTGCAATCTCTATTCATTCAGTTTTCTAAACTCTCATAGAAAGCAATCTACTGCTCCAGATGAAGTTAACACTTCATATTTCATATTATTCCCTGAGGTTGTTTTTGCCATTCAAAGAAAGTCAAAAGACTTTCTGTATTGAAAGCACTTGGGTATGGTAACCAACAAAAACTTTGCATTTGAGGAAAAGCAAAGGACATTCAAGAATTGATCCTAGGGCTAAATATATATCTGATAATCTGGGGCTGGCAGAGCTTAAATTTTCAATTTAAAAATGTCCTAGCCAGATGAAAACTATCATGTAATCCCTATCCTCTCCACAAACAAAAAACAAGTCCCAATGGAAATATGTAGTTTACCTAGGTTTAATGAACTGTAAGATTAGAACATATAACAGCAAATACAACCCACTTCTTGATCAGTACAGGTTCACAATTGCTAAAAATAAACAAGTAACAGAGATTTGAAGAAGTCTGATGATTTCTGAAAATAGATACAGTAAAACCAGCCTTAAGCTTTCCAAAAGGCCCTTGAATGGTAAGGGATTTAATGATACTCTGGAGATTCAAACTGTATTCTTTTTGAGTTATGAAAATTTTTATTTTCTTTATTCTTTAAGAAAACCAGCTCTACCCTTTATGCCACCAAGGGGAGTTCAGAGAGCATATCCTACTTTGGTGGGAATACTTGGAGGAAGTTTATCTCTGCTTTGAGTTACGAGGGCATTTCAAATGAAACCTGGAAAAATGTGTTTTTTTTTATGATGTTCAATGTGCAATATTATTTTTGGACAGTTAGATCTCATGAGCTGGAACCCCTGATTATGCTCATAATTTGTTTTGATATCATAATCACTTGAGCACAGGCAGTAGAAAATGTCAGTAAGACATGCAAATTACACTAAAGTGGAAATGAGAGGTGTGATAGGCATTTTGACCATGCATTTCAAGGTCATACCACAACCCTCTTAACTTGCCAGATTTAGCTCCCAGCAATTTTCAGACCACTGAAGGAAGCCTTGAGTGGAGCCTTGAGCATTTCCAGAGCAACGAGGTCCAGCATGTGATGCATCAGTGCCTGTGCATGCAAGCAAAGAAGTTCTTCTCCACCAGTACCTAGGCATTAGTCATGCTGGAAGAAAAGCAATTCTTCCAAAGTGACAGGGTTTTACTTCTGCAGTCAATAATCTTATCACATCATTTCCACCTTTGCACAATAGTCATGTTGTACTGTCATTTTCTACAGCCTCTTCTCAAGTCACTATGGTATCAAAACAAACATTGAGCATAATCAGGGGTGTCAGCTCTTGAGTTCTAACCATTAAAAAATTATATTGCACATTGAACAAATATTTATCTAAAAAAAAAAAACCACATTTTTCCAGGTTTCATTTAAAATCCCATCATACTTCAATTCATGATACCTCTAAGCCAGGAGAAACTGATATAATGAGTGCTTCTCTGAGTGACCACTTTCTTCAAACTCCATAGGTCAAAGGAAGCTAGAACTATCAGAGGCCAAGTCATAGCTGTAAAAAAAAAAAAATAAAAATAAAATATATATCCAGTATTCTGTATAATGCCTTTCCCAAGCCACAAATTTCCTGAATTTGAGGCCTTCAATTTTGATTGTGATTCAGTAATAACATTTTTTGTCATGGGTGTGATATTCTGGACATTACCAGTTTCTTCTCTGAAATAAGAGATACATTTGAGCAAAAATGTGAACCTGCTGCCACGCCTTCTACCTTTTGATTCTGCATTCTATTGTTGATCAAAGCATGTTCAGCAATAAATTAATATGGGGCTTCAAACACTTACATAAGAGCAGTAAAACCAACAATCAATTGCTCAATCCAAGTTAAATTATAATTAATTCCACAGTTGGTAAATTAATTCAAATCTTCAAAACTTCCTCTGGTAACAATGCAAAAAAATGTATATATGAAGTGAAATAAGTGAATAATGCGGACTCTTATAACTTTTTTTTTGTTTTGTTTTGGTCTGCCCAGCCACATCTCTTTATGCCCTCAAGTAGCAATGATGGCAACTTTAAGATATGCTCCCATACATGTAGCACTCAAAGAATTCATGAGAGGAGGACACAGGTAAGACACACCCCACTTTTTTGGCTTGTCAGCCTTTATACCAGAAGGAAGATTCCCCAATGCTCTATGATCTCGGGACTGCACGCTTAGATTATCCATTCCATCAGGAGACAGTAATAAGCCACACAACCCTTCCCTACACCATGCAATTAAAAAGGGAGCACTGCCACATCACAGGCTTCACAGTTACCCCAGTGGACGCTGATACAAGTTGTCCCGCAGCCTCAGTCATCAGTTCTGACAAGGACACTTGAGTTCGTTTCACTTTCCACACAGAAATTTGTGGATAGGTGACATAAAAGAGCCTGTAGACATGAGCTATGACATTTGAAAAAATCAAGCAGTGTTTCTCAAAAAGAAAGTTAACAATAGTTTCTTAACTGTGGTGCTGTCATTCTTCAAGTACACCTTACATTGACTGCAATCCACTTCTCAGCAGGCACCTAAGCCCAAGAATAAGGTCTTGGAACTCCCAACTTAGATGGTATGGGAATTACCAAAGACTGCTTCTAAAACCAGTCTGTTACATGGACTTAAATGGTACCAGTGTAAGATGACAATACAATAAGATCATCCTGGATGTTTGTATTAGATTATCATGGGACAAGCACCATCCTTTCTCAAATAGTACAAAAATCAACCATTTTTCAAAAGTAGCTCAGCAAACTTTATGGATTGCATGAACTCTCATTGAAACCTCATCAAAAATTTAAATTTCTACTAAAGCTTTAACCAAGGCAGTAAATTGAATCATCTTAATGGGTTTGCAGCTGTACTTAATATTGCCATGGACAAAAGGTTATGATAAAGATTTAATCCTGAGGAAAGGCAGGTTTAGATGTGGAATACTCCACCCACTTATATGGAAAATAAATTAACTTAGTTCTATCTGAAGATTGACATGCACATCAATTGAACATCAAGTTGAAACCCACTCACAGAGGTAGGGTAGGCTTCAGGGCATGGTTGCCATGTCACATCTTGTATTCAAGCAGTGGTCATATTCAAAATGCAGGCATATGACAGAGTCCTTTAAGCACCACAGTAGCAACATTCCAGAGCATTGAACATGAAGCATTTAGGCCCTGCTACAGCCTACAATTTTTCTTTTTGTTGGCTAAGTCTCACAAGAAATGAGAACAATAAGAAAAATAAATGCTTTGACAATAAAAATACTATTTTTCTTGGTTTCATGCATCAAAGCCATTTGACTCTGAGAATGACAGTATTTAATATAAACCCTATCATCCCTAATTACACTCCAGGTGACTCCTACATCCATAATATAGAAGCATTTGCCTCATTGAAACAAAGAGTTCAAAGCAATTGCTATCTACATACAACTAGCTTGAGGCTTGCTTATACAAAGGTTTAGAAGGCCAGCATTCATGATTTGCAAAGGTGTATAGTGCTTTTTTAAATTAATTAAATTTAATCTGGAAATAGGCCAAAAAAATACATAAACCTGCAACAGATCTAAGCTACACATGGGAATTTAAAGCTTAGAGATTTTCATACCAGCACAATTCTTTATAGTGTTACCTAGTACCTTTTTGCATTTACACAGGCATCTTTATTCATTTCTCCTATATCTGAATGATAGACTTAACATTATAGTGGCATATGGAAGCCACTGATAAGAGCAATGAACAAATTGTCAAAAACTCATAGACCTATTGCACTTAAATTGAAGATATGTTTTGTTTATTTATTGCAACACTAAAGTGGCAATAGCTAACTGGTCAACTAGTACAGGGGTGCACAAATGTTAAAAATGGTGGGTCACCACTCATAGCCCATGATGTAACCTTGGGCTTTTCAAGTTACATAACATCTATATTCTTAACCAAATATTAAAAAATGCCCAGATGGAAAAAATCTAGCCTAAGTGATTTTACATGAGGGCCACTTGGAGCCCACAGGCCTCCCTCTATATATCCATGCACTAAAACATGGTTTGCATAATCCCCTCTGGAAAGGCTGTTGTCAGAGTTAGGAAGATGTCACCAAATATGAGGTGATGCAATGGCCTCATCCCCATTAACACTTTCAATCTGATGGATGTAACTGTACACCCAGTCCTAACTACCATTGGACAATGGTGGACATAATCACGTAGTTTTAAAGTTTTAAAATATTGACATAATTTAACAGATTAAAACAGAGAACCTATACTTCAATTTCCAATAAAGAGCACAAGTCTTCATCATTTTGTGTTCTTAAGTTATGTATTTTTTGGCATACCACAAAATAATCTCAGTCACCAACCCTCTGGAGCGAAAGTGTTGTCTGCAGATGTATCTTCAAAATAAAAATTAAAAAATTGCCCCACAGGTGTTTCATTGCTCTAAATACTATCATAAGGTTACTGGTACTTTACATGTAGACCAAATTTAGTCCCACGTCAAGGCACTACAAAAAATCAATATGTTCTGTGAAGATATACAAACTCCACCTTACTCAGGGCCCAGAAGTGGCTTGGTAGGGTAGTAACTTACAGAATCTTTCGCTGGCAGCTAAAGCTAAACCTCACTCATACCCATCTAGAGCAACCTTCCAGAAGAGATTGTATGACAGATATTTGAAAGAATGAGTGGACTGGCCCTGAATGTAGAGACAGTTAATTGCACACTTCTGTTTGCCTCTTTTACTACTGTGATATTGTGAAGCAGAAAGACAGCATTTTGACATGTGAATAGAGAAAATCAAGTAACAAATGGAGTGTCGTCTTGTATTGAATTTCTGGGTAACAAGGGGTAGAAGATTCATGGTAGGAGGGAGTGGAAAGAAGAAACAAATGCAGATAAAAGGGGCATGAGGCTTCAGTCATCATGCTCTTGGTGGAGGGGGGCAATGTTTTCTATTTGGGCAATCCCAGGTCCTTCTTCAATGATTTCTTCCTCCTCATGAGCTTCACTTCCCTCATCTCTACTCTCAGACTTCTTTGACTTGTAAAGAACTTTGTGACACAGAGGACAACGATCTTGGACATAGAGCCATTTCCTTAAGCACAGGCTGTGAAAGAAGTGCTGGCACCTTGTTATTTTTGCACTGTTCATTGTCTGATAACAAATAGCACAAATGTCATTGAAGTTCTCCAACTGCTCTTTGGTGGCATCAGGTAATGAGTTGATCTTGTTCACAGCTGTCCTCCGTTTGATGAAGACGTGCCACCCATGGCGAGCCTCACACCAGATGTTGAAGTAAGCATGGATGCACATCATGGTTGCCCGAATGGCACCACCGGACTCAAACACAAGGATCCATACACCATTGAGGAATAGGAAGATCCCAAAAATGAATTCAACCGTGTTCCCAAAAGCACGGATATAATACACATAGTCGTCCAGATTCTCCCAGAAGACATCACGTCGGGAGTCAACCAGAAATAGCGTGTAGATGGAAAGTGACACAAGCACTTTCACTATCACTTCTATAGAGAAAGCTGAGACAGCCAGAAGCCATGTGCTGAGGTTACAGTATGTCCAGAGTTGATTGATCAGAATGATAGGAGTTGAGATGAGGACTAGAGACACAATAATGGCCCTTGTATGGTGCCAGACAGATGGACTTTGTGATGCACTCAATGACATGAGTACAGGATTCAGCATGTTGTGAGCAAAATGAAGCACAGCTGTAAAGAGGAGACACATGTTCTTTAGCAGCCGATTGAGGCGTTTTTGAGTGCTCAGACCACTCAACCCAGTTTGTAGGGCAAGGATGAAGAACATGATAGCTGATATTGTTCCTATCTGATGCTCTTCAGAATTGTACTGCAAGAACTTCTGGAAGAGAGTTCCAAGGAAGTGGCACAGAGATGAAATGACAGCAGTCATTCCCATTACAGCCACAAATGTATCACATCCATGCGTCAGGGTTTCCCCAGCAACCTCTGTAAAGATTTCTACATTTGTCTTCCCTTTGACATCCATCTGTGAAATGATTCCATGGATCTGTGCCAATGATCGCAAGATCCAGAAGTACCGCAATGCCCGTGGGACTTTCAGTCGGGCCCATTGCATCTCCATGAAGGCATGAAGTCCAAATGATGTAATGAAATCACGTACCCATAGAGATCCTGAAACCAGGGTACTCACATCTCTTGATAAAGCACTCAAGTGTGAGCGATTTACACCTAAAAGGGGGATGATGAAGGTGAGAAGGCGGATGGGAAATGACTGAACTTGTATCACATTGGGGATCCAAAACAAGGATGCAGCCAATTCCTTGAATTGGAAGGGTAGACTAAGTGAGGACATCAGGAGGCAGTATGTAATTCCCAGAGAGACTTGGATGCTGACACCAGTGCCAAAGGAAATGTAATTTGATGTAAACTCGGGGAGCAAGTAGGATACTGTAACACATCCCAGGATGAGGAAGACCTTGTAGGCCTTCACCAGCAGAGGGATGGGAAGGGTAAACAAGGCAGCTGCAATCAGGAAAGCTGAAACAGACAGGGAACATGGCACAGAGTGAGAAGTGTGCTCCATATTCCTGAGGCTAAAGCTTAGTGCATCATGGGGGAAGGAAAAATTGTTTCCTGCCAAAGATGAGAAGGGGCAATATAAGGAGATTATAGGCCACACATAACCACTGTGAGTGCAGTTTTTGTAAAGCTGCACTCCACTTAGCATGATATTTGACAAAACATTTCAAAAGTTTGAGAAAAAACGTTAAAATCCCTGTGTGGGCACCTGAAGATGATAGCAACCCCTCTCTCTGTAGAGAAGACCAATGTACAAGAATCAGTCATAAGTTCTGCAACAAAATCATTTCTCCTTTACTTCTGTAGGTTTGAAGACTGTGGTCCCTCTGCCACACACGCACAGCCTCCTAGCAATTCCATACACTTTCACATTTTCTCTTTCCACTTTTGGAAACATCTGGCATAGTCTTCCCTGGGTATGTGCTGAGGCACTGAAAAACTGCTAATCTCAAAGCATGTTGAATGCTATCCCCACATGAGGCATTCCTCAATGGGGAATAACAATACAGGGTGTCCATAAAGTCTCTTTACAATTTAAAAAATGTATTACAAAGGCAATTGATGAGATATCTTAATCAAATTTGTTCTATGTACTAAGTGGTTATCAAAGTTTTTAATCACATTGCATTTGTGTATTTCAGGTACCACGTTGATGAAAGAGGTATTTTTTAAAGAAACTCTAAAAAATGGCTACTCCTCAAGAGAAGGCACAATGTGTATCATGGTTTATTGAAACGAAGTCGGATACGGATAAGGTTGCCTCATCACTAAAACAAACTCGGGTGAGGAACGTTTCATCCTCAGAAATTCGTTCCAGCATGTTAACTGCAAACTCTTTTTGTCTTGGTTTATCATTTGGCTCGAGTGCCTGTAAGAGTTGCACTTTGTAAGCGTACAATCGCAAGTTCTTGTGTAGGACTTTGTGCACTGTTGAACGTGGTAGCTCTAACTGTCTGGCAGCAGTACGGATGGACGTTGTGGGGGAACGACTAAAGGCTTCTCTTACACGATCGATGTTTTCCTCAGATGTTCTTGGTCGTCCACTCCTCCCTTTATCCAACACTGTCCCTATCTCCATAAATTTATTGTGCCATGCACGAATTGATGGATGTGACGGTGGACCTCTCCCATACTTAGTTCTGTAGTTTCGCTGAGTCTGCGTATCCGATTTCGTTTCAATAAACCATGATACACATTGTGCCTTCTCTTGAGGAGTAGCCATTTTTTAGAGTTTCTTTAAAAAATACCTCTTTCATCATCGTGGTACCTGAAATATCGCTGAGTCTGCGTATCCGATTTCGTTTCAATAAACCATGATACACATTGTGCCTTCTCTTGAGGAGTAGCCATTTTTTAGAGTTTCTTTAAAAAATACCTCTTTCATCAACGTGGTACCTGAAATACACAAATGCAATGTGATTAAAAACTTTGATAACCACTTAGTACATAGAACAAATTTGATTAAGATATCTCATCAATTGCCTTTGTAATAAATTTATAAAATTGTAAAGAGACTTTATGGACACCCTGTATATGCAGACGACACCACAATTTACTTTTCACATCCAAATCCTCTGGTTGTTAAGGAGACTCTCCAAATTGAACTTCTCAATCTGCAAAACTGGGTTAACAAAAATAAAATGCTTATTAATGTCAGTAAGACCCACTCCATACTCCTAGCCCACCCCAACAAGTTTGCATCATCCTCTATAAAAGACTTACATGGCCTTACTTTAAACTCTGAGCCCATCCAATCACTTCAAAAAGTCAAATTCCTTGGCCTAACCCTAGATGCTCACCTTTCTTATAAAGGACATTGCCTCTCCATCATTAAAAAAATAAATCAAAATCTGTACCTCATTCACTCTATATCTCCACTAATCTCTCCTAAAGAAATCCAAGTACTTGCTAATGCCCTCATACTCCCCCATGTCTCATATTACCTCCCAATACAGTGGTATCTCGCATAACGAACGCAATTCGTTCCAGCAGTGCGTTCGTTATGTGAGGTATTTCTTTATGCGAAACACGATTTCCCATAGACTTCTATGGGAAATCATGTAATCCGTTCCACGTCGCCGCGAAAAATCAAGGAAATTAGGAAAAAATGAAGACAGAGCACTGTTAAGGAAGAAGAAACACTAGTAAAAACACTCACCAAAGTAGGGAATGATGTTAGGCGTTGATGAGGTAAAATGGAGGTGAGATGAGGACACACACTTATGTACACACACTATGAACAGGTCTCTTTTCCAGTCCAGTTTTACTTGTCAGAATCAGAGTTGGAACTTTCCAGCTCCACCAGTGGGCGCAGACGGGGTGGGATGGACTGTCCTTGAGTGGAAGAACTGGCCTGGTGTTGAGTGGAAGAACCGGCCTGTTCTTCAGCTCCAACAGGTCGAAGTTTCTTGGCAGGCCCTGGCTGGAAGAACTTATCCAAAGTCCCCTGCCTCTCCCTCTTCTTGAGTAGGTTCCTGAAGTGGGCCATTGCCTTGTCGTTGAACAAATCCACCACTCTGCTGACTTCGGTTTGGTTGGGGTGCCACTGAAGGGCAGTCTTCTGAACTTTTTCCCACTTCTTCAGCATGTCCTTGATGGTGCTGGAAGGAATTGGGCCTTTGCTGTTCTCCTCCTCCTCGTCTCCTGACGAGAGTTCTCTCCTCTCCTCCTCCTCCTGTTCTTCCTCAAACAAGAGCTTGCAGTTCTTCAAGTGTCAGCTCTTCCTGATGTTCTTCCAGCAGCTCTTCCACATCCTCCACATCCACCTCCATTTCCAGTTCCCTCGCCGTGGAAACGATCTCCTCCACAATTTCGGCGTCATTTGCTGCCTCTCCCTGAACAAAGGCAGGAACCAGGGCCCTCCAAGCACAGATCAGAGTCCTTTGGGTGACTTGGTCCCAGTCCCTTTGGATGAGCCTGATGGCCTCAATGACGTCGAACTCCTCCTTCCAAAATCTCTTCACAGTCATATCGCTGGGGCTAAACTGGCACTTCTCAAAGCAGTTTCGAAAAAGGGCCTTGCTATAGAGCTTCTTGAAGTTGGCAATGACCTTCTGGTCCATTGGCTGGAGGATGGAAGTGGTGTTTGGAGGCAGGAACATGACCTTCAGCCAGTCAAACTCATCTGCCAGCTCTTCTTCCAAGTCTTTTGGGTGGCCTGGGGCATTGTCCATCAGCAAAAGGGCCTTGAGATGCATCTTGTTGTCTTCCAGGAACTTCTTCACACTGGGTGCAAAAACTTCCAAAATCAACTCCTTGAAGACTGATCTTGTCACCCAGGCTTTTCGGTTGGACTTCCAAAGAACAGGCAACTTGGACTTCACCACATCTTTCTTTTTGAAAGCCCTGGGATTCTCAGAGTGATAGACCAGCAGGGGCTTCATCTTGAACAGCCCACTCGCATTGGCAGCAAAGAGGAGTGTCAGCCTGTCCATCATGGGCTTGTGTCCGGGAAGTCTCTTCTCCTCCTTGGTGATGTAAGTCCTGTTGGGCATTTTCTTCAAGAAGAGGCCAGTTTCGTCGCAGTTGAACAGCTGATGAGGGCTGTAGCCTTCTTCCTGAACCACCTTCTGGAATTCTGCAGCAAACTTCTCAGCAGCAGCTTTGTCAGCACAGGCTGCCTCTCCATGCATGACCACACTGTGGATTCCACTTCTTTTCTGGAAACGGTAGAACCACCCCCTGCTGGCCTTGAATTCTTCCTCTTCTCCTTCAGCTTGTGAGCTTGAACCTGCCTCTGCATGTGCTTCCTTCAGTCCTTCATAGATGACCCTGGTCTTCTCACAGATGAGCTCCTGGCTTGTTGGATCCGCCTTCATCTGCCTCTCATTCATCCAAACCATGAGGAGCCTTTCCACTTCATCTATGAGTGATTTTCTGACCACATCACTGTACATCCTGGTCATTCCCTTAGCCACCTTGGCTTGAGCAATCTCATCTTTCTTTTTTAAGATTGTCCCAATGGTGGACTTGTTCACCTTGAACTTCAGGGCAAGGTCTACCACTCTCACTCCTTTGTTGTGCAGTTCAATGATTTCTTTCTTCGTTTCGATGGTAAGAGCCTTTCTGACCTTCACACTAACACCTCCTTTCTTGGGACCCATTATTCTTGAGGTTCAAACTTCACGGAAACAAGAAAAAATGTTTCACTTTCACTCGCGAAAAGTTGTCCTGCAACGAGAAGACCTTGAATTTTAACCACCGGTAAACACACAGACACAAAAAAACACATCAAAACAGGGGGGAAATGACACTGAAATGGGGACAAACATGCTTTGTCTTAATCTGAGCCACACAAAACACAACTGGCTGGATTCAGCCATTTTTTAACGGAAAATTCGATTTTTCGCGACGTACGGTTCGTTATGTGAAGCAAGATCGTTCTGCGAGGCACGCGGGCGTTCGCAGCGGCGTTCGTTATGCGGATCGTTCGTTCTGTAGGGCGTTCGTTATGCGAGGTACCACTGTAATTGTTTCTAGCCTGCATCAATAAATCATACCCCTACTATTATGGTCTCTCATAGCAGAAATGAACATCTGAAACAAATCCAAAGCGTATTCCAGCCTATGAAGGTTGGCATTCAAGTGTTTGATGATAAACTGGATACTTTTTTTACTACAAATTCTGAAAGCTTTCTTTCTTTCAAGTTTCTCTTTCAGTATCATTCCAAATTGTTATGTGGTTTATAAAACAAGTGATGCACAAAGTCATTCAATGCTTCCAAAAAAGGCAATTCCACTTGGACAGAGGAGTGATTGGGTGATATTGGCATGGAGGAAGATTACCCTGTTAGGACTACTGAAGTTCTTGGGATCTGAAATAAATTTTGGTGCATTCTACTGGAACTCCCACACATGAAGCAGATCACTTCACTGGTTGTATTTAAAGATTTTTTTTTTAATTGAAAGAAGTATCGATAATTAGTTTGAAGATGAGTCTATGGTGTTATTATTCACATCTATTGATTGAAATGCTGGTGTTTTCATGGCATCCTGTTCTCTCTA